GAGGGAAATCAGAAGTCACTCCTGTTCCCATTGCTTTTTTGCTAGGTCTTAAATAATTTGGTTTCTCTGTTTAGGAAATATCTCAGAAAGGATGATCCAATGGGATCATGGGTTGTCTAGTTTTGCTAGATCAGGAAGAGTTCCAATCCAGGCACACCTAAGCATTTTTCAGTTCCTAGGAATTCAATAGGAGCCCAAGGTATGAATGTGAATACAATGGTACATCAGTACTTGTTAATTGGTTCCGGGAGGTTGGACAAGTACTAAACAAACCACATGACTTATCACATGACCCTTTGTTCCACTGGGAAGGACTTCTTGTCTGCTCCTTTTCCTATGTCAGCAACCTTCCCAGCATAGCCGATTTCCTGTCTGCCCTCTGCGGCCATCTCCNCCAAGGTATGAATGTGAATACAATGGTACATCAGTACTTGTTAATTGGTTCCGGGAGGTTGGACAAGTACTAAACAAACCACATGACTTATCACATGACCCTTTGTTCCACTGGGAAGGACTTCTTGTCTGCTCCTTTTCCTATGTCAGCAACCTTCCCAGCATAGCCGATTTCCTGTCTGCCCTCTGCGGCCATCTCCCTTTTCTTTTCACAGCACATTGAATACCAGACAAACAAGTAATGTGACAACATTTTTGTGTCAAAATGTGTCGTGTACCAAATTCAACAAGTCAAGCAGTCAAGTACTGAGGTACCACTATATAGCTGAAATCAACAGAACTAGAAAATGTACCCATTTAAACATTCCATATCCAATATGGGATGAATGACATCTTGCTTACCAATGTTATTTTGCTCTTGGATTTAGTAGTTTAGAATTTACCTTTCTAGCATTTATTTCAATCTCAGATCAAAAAGCATATTATTAAATGCATGCCATGTCCAAAGAAGAATCACAGATGTGCCCATAATTATATTTTGAGATGTTACAATTTTGTATGAAGCCCACAGAATACATTACAGATACATGTAGTTTCCTATCAATGATAGATGATAACCTTGAGTAGGTATAGGTAATCCTCAATTAACAACCAAAATTGGGACCAGTAATGTAGTCATTAAATGAATGGTGCTTAGGTTTTTATTTCAACTTTCCTTTGCTTTACAGTGTCAGAAAGACATGATCCCAAACAGCCGGGTTAGTCCAAGCAGCAGGGAAGGCTTCTGGAACTTTGTCACAAGGAAGCCAGGTAAAAGGGCAAATCGTATAGCCCTTTTCCCCACTCCCTGGCCCTTTAAAATGCTTATCCCAGTGATGAGATTATTAACAAGAGAATGTTTGTATTTACATTCGTTGGAGAGGAAGGAATTGCAAAAGAGTAAGCAGACACACAACGGGAACAGACATTGAAACAAAAGCACTAACACCAGTAGTTTGCCTAGCAAGTAACTTAGGAGGCAAAAGGAAACTTTCAATCTGAAACTGATTATGGTCTAGTCAGTTACATGCAGCAACTGTCAGTTCAGGGTTCTAATTTAGTAATTAAGATTATAGAGCTGAATTTATTAACTTGTGTTGGCATTTTTTAGGGATACAATACTCTACCCAGAAAAGTAGCTGAAGGAGAGATACCTTCTTTAAGCAATCTGCTCTGTGAGAAGAAGAAGAAAAAAACCAAGACAATGCATACTACCTGATGGTAATAGTGAATATGTTACAAAGATGGATGCTGCAAGTATCATAAATGCAGGCATTTATTGCAAAGTTACTTTTTCACCAACGTCACAATTGCAAACAGTTGTTGTCCGAGGCAGTCACTAAATATATTTTTTGTTTATGGTACATTCTACAGTGCCTTCTATTGTACATTCTGAAGCACAGCAGACATGTTATTCTTGAGGAGGGCAGAACCATATATTGTTTCTGGCCAAATCTGATTTCTGCAGCTATTCAATTGTTCACTAAATCCATGCCTTTCAGGTGGCTGGAAAAGTGAAGTTGGATTTGGGAAAGATAAATAACTCTTTGAATCAAGAAAGGGGCAGCCAATCTTGAAAGGGGCAGTAATGTATTCCCTCTTGAAGGGACTTTTTTAACCTAATCCATCTACTAAATACTGGCACCTAATGGGCCCCAGATGTGTCTTCTATTTTGCAGCACCCACCCCCAAATATGGCAGGCTTTAAGAAAAGTCCTAAGTCCTGGTTCCCTCAGGTACTAGGCCAGGGACTTCTATAACTTTGCTGGAATTATATGAGGTATTTGGCTCCCAACACGATATGTTTTACATTTTGTTTTACCTTTATTATTTTCCTGCATTGAAGTTTTCAATCCTATAACAATCTATAGTTGCTTAACAAGTTAACATATAAATTTAATAAATCACACTGGACAACTTTATGCAATTTCCTCTTTCGGAAGAATATTTTAAAGGTGATGGTGAGGATTCAGCTTCAGAGAATCCTACAGGAAAATATATTATGTAGACCCTTTCTATTCAAAGTTCAATCCTAGCATGAGGCAGGAACAACATTGGCTATCCTGGTTGATAACCTCTACTAGGACATGAGTGCTCTCCTGAACCTATTGGACCTCTCAGCAACGTTGATATAATCTACCATATCCTGCTGGAGATTCTACTAGGAATGAGTAATGGGCACTATTTGTGGTGGTTCTCTTATCTGAATGGATCATTCTCAATGCCTGGAAGAAGAGTGTGTCAAGTCCTTGGCTCCTCCACTGAGGGACATGTCAGAGCGTTCTCTCCCATGCTTTCCACTAACTACATAAAACTGCAGGGAGAGTGACATATCATCAATATATTGATGATTACTACACATTGCTACCCAAACTGAGTCAAGTATGTTGCAGAAATTCTAACTCAGTGTTTAGAAGCTGTAAGAATTTAGATGGCCAAAACAAGATCAGACACCTTCATGCAGGATAGAATTATCTCTACATAATCCATCTGTTTTGATCTCAATCACTATTTTGGCTCTAGAGACTTCTGCATTCCCTCTAAAAGAGGACTGCAACTTGGAAGTCCTTCTGGAATTGTGGGTACTGCTTAAACAATAGTTGGAAGCTGTGGCCAGAAAAGCTTTTTCCCAGTTGGGCTGATGTGCCAGATGTGTGGAACTTTTTCTAGAAGGGATCTCTTAAAACAGTGATTCATATCCTCATCATTTTGAGGCTAGTATATTGCCTTTTTCATGGCACTGCTCTTGAAGATGATTCACTAGCAGCAATTAATTCAGAACATAACATTTAGTAGTATGACAGCTATACTGAGATCACTACACTGATTGCTAGCAGGCTTTCAATTCTAATTCAAAGCACTGATTTTAACCTTATATAGCTTGTCACCTATGTATTTGCAGGAGCATCTCTCCCAGCCAGAGTCTTTGTCACTCTTGTTTATATTCCCAAAGTATTAGAAATCATTTTATTTCAAAAGGGCTTTTAAGAGAGAGAATATGTTTGGGGGCACATTATTTTGAATTCTCTTGAAATACATGGTAAAGGACATTCATGTAAAACTTAAAGACTCTAAACATCACACGGGAAGACGCTGAAGTACTCCCAAAAATGCTGGAGATCTGTTGCTGCTTGATATGCTACACAGCATGGGAGGATCTAATGCTAATAAAAATGTAATTATTTATACTTTTGAGTAAACTGTCTAAAGTATAAGGATTGGTATAGAAATGTTATAATTGATGTATTTAGATTTTATAAACAGTTGTAAAAGTACTGTTATATACTCAATATTTACAATACTGATAAGCCAATCTCTACTGTGTAGTTTGCACTATGGTAAACGTTCATCTTGATACATTAATTTGCTGCAAACTACTATTATGCTCTCCAGAATTAACCAATATCTTAGCAAGATCTAATGGCCCAAGTACAAATTACACATAAGCTACATGAAATATATGTGAAAAGAATTCTGATAGGTTAAACTGGTCTCAACTACCTTGCTGGCTTTCAGACTTTATTTACAATATAAATAGCTACCAGAGGCCACTAATTTTTAAACAGCATTCACAATTTTTTTCCACAAAGATTTTTTTTTTAATATAGCAGCCACTACAACTTTGTATCATTTAACAATATAGGAATTTCAATGGTGCCCCTATGCGTGCTATATAAAATATGGTAGTTTTTAAAATAATATAAGTTCTTTATGATCCTAAGTATTTAAAAATAGCAGTAAAATTAGTTGACATACCTATTTTACCTACTCAAATGCTTACCTAAATTAGAAATGGCCTGATGTACGCCATGTTTTCTTTTACTATGCACTGCATGTTTCTTTACAGATGTCTGTGACAGTTATTACAATTCTGTACTAATTCATTCACAATAAATTTCAACTATCAAGTTCATTGAAATCTAAATGAGACTAATTTTCTTAGTTGTTACGAATTGTAATGCAAAATATCAATAGTGCAATTCTACACTATCTTAAAAATACATTTGAATTGAAAGCTAGGGATTTTTCCAAGGTAACTGTGAGTAGCTACTACTAAAAAACTATAAGATCAAAACTGCCCACTCATATTCAACACAATGTAATAGGCTGGACTATGGCCCTTATATAATTCCAACTGTTGAAATATCTTCAATTAAGATGACAAGGCAGTCTTAAAAGAAATGACAACTCTACCCAGAACTTTGACCAGATTTCGACTTCTTTCTGAAAGAACATATGCTTCCATCCAACTCACACAGAAGAATAAAAGAATGTCCCATACCTCTTTTATCCAATAAAATAAAGACGCTTCTTTTATCTAATGTTATCTGCTACTAGTGGGCTCACCCAAGACGTTAGCCTGAAATTAGGAATGAATTAAGGGAACCCAAACAATGTAGTAAATCCTGGTTCGGTTAACCACAGATTGGCTTAATCTATGAATTAGTTGAAAAGACCGTCCTCCCTTCTCCCAAAGGCCTTTCTAACCACAGCAATAGGGAGACACATTATGACCCCAGCTGCGTTGAGTCGGTAAGAAAAGCGGCAACCCTCTGTTCTCCCCTCACCGGGCCCGTAGAACTTGCTGCCTTTGGTTACGTCGAAGACTTTGCCGTTGACGGCCAGAAGGATGCGCGGCAACCGCGCGCCGTCGTACTCGCGCAGCTGCTCCAGAGTGAAGTCCCGCCGCTTCATGCGGGGCAAGGAGTGGGCCTGACTTTGTTGCGCCGCGCCCCCAGCTCCGATCCTTTTGCCCCAGCGCTTGTAGACCTGATAGGCCAAAAGCGTCACGATCACCAGCGTCAAGATAAAGAGCATGTCGAACCAGCTGCCCCAGAGCCAGCTTTCGGACGAGGCACTCGCCGTCTCCGGCGGAGCGTCGCCGCTGCTGCCGCCGCCGCCGCCGTCGCCTTGTTCCGTCCTTAGCTTCCCAATCCCATCGTCCGCCATCACTGCCCAGCCAGCGCCTGCCTGAAAGGAACCGCTCCGCCCCCGTCGGGGAGGAGGGGGGAAAGGCGGAGGCGGGGCACCCTCTGTGTTTTTTTTTCATTTCTTGCTCCGATTGGTTGCGATTAAGGACACGTCACCCATGCTAGCTCGCGCCCAGCAAAAACGAATCAAAAACAGGTGCACGCGGCTACCCAACGGTTGAATTCCACCTTGTGGCAGGCTTCGTCGGAGAGGGCGGGAGAGATCGCGAAATAGAAAAACGCGCCTGCGTCTGTCTTCCCCCTCCCCGCCCCCCTCCCTTATATTCACAAAACCTTCGCTCTTCAGTTGCTGTCGGTCTGGGTTTGGTGGGTGGTTGTAGCTCAGGGGTAGTCAACCTTGGCTCTTTTATGACTCGTGGACTTCAACTCCCAGAATTCCTGAGCCAGCCGTGCTGGCTCAGGAATTCTGGGAGTTGAAGTCCACGAGTCATAAAAGAGCCAAGGTTGACTACCCCTGTTGTAGCTGTTGAAATGTAGGCGTGCTTGATGGACTCTGACGTTGCTGCGGGCTGAGCTCGTATACCTCGAATGCTTTTAGTTTATCTTCATTACTATAAATACGCTTCAGAGTCCCGCCCTGCAGCGTAAACCAGACAGCACATAGTTGCTTATTTGGAGAAGGATTTTCGGGGCAGAGTATTAGTGTCCTTTCTCCAGTGGAGAAGATGTATAATTTCCTTCGTAAGTCTCAGCCTTATCCAACCAGGTGCCTTCCGGTTGTTTTGGACCTCAACACCTATAATCTTCGGTGGAATTGGCTAGGGGTTGTGACTGGTGATCTCATTAATAAATGAGCTACAATTGCTGCATGAGGACATAAATAATGATTAGCAGCTCTTGTCTGCATCAGCCACCTAACACGCAAAGCACTAATATTGCTTAATATCCCAAATTTATTCTCAAGTCATAATTTCCAGAGACTTTTCATAACGCTTGCTAAAAGATCTATCTGTTGCTGCATAAAAGCAACTGTCTGAGAGAATTCAAAGATATTTCCCAGTAATAGAGGATTACTTCACACTGTACATAAAAGCTATGTATGCTTTTATGTAAAACTAATTTGATTAAAAATAATGTTATAGTGCTTTTTTTAAACGAAAGCATCTTTTATATCAAAATATTTTAAAATTGCTTTAAAACAAAGCTATATTTAAAAATTTAGTGATTAATTTACAGGAAAAAAGTTATAGCCATTAGACTCATGTACAATTTTCAATAAATTAATGGATGGCTAATTTGCATATTGTACTGATAGAAGTAAGTCTTCATCCTGGTTTATCCAAGCCAGGAATAAATAAGCAAACATGGCGACTGCTTTGGGAAGAAGGTTACAGTTTATTGCAGAAGAAAGATGGTCCTTGCAAGAAGGAGCAGAGGAGAAGAAAGAGACTGAGCACATGGGTAGAAGGTTTTTTATACCCCCTCTAGCCCTGTTTGGTATAGTTTCCTGTTCCTGTGGCATGAACTTTGAGGTTATTTCTGAGTGTTTTTCTAGGCCTTGATATCTGTGGTTTAATCCTATTATCATATCCTGCTTCCCAGGTGATGGGGCTAATGACTCCTAGAGTTTGGGTGGGGCATGCAGATTTTCTCTTTGTCTTCTTGATTGCCCTGTCTTCAACTTTCTGATGGTTTTACATCTGCATTTGTATGGGGCTAGGTCTTGCTTGGGGCAGAGAGATTTGGAGCCAAAGTTGGTTTCTGCTTTTTGAAATACTTTTGAGGAAATATATATTTCTGCCCTTTTAATATTTCCTTCTCTGGGGCTCTGACTTCCCACAGTACATCGAGTTTTGCTGCCTGATTTTTAGGAAACTACAGCTTGAGATAAAGGATTCATATCACATACACCAGGGGTCCCCAATCTGTGGGCCGCAGCCCAATACTGGTCTATGGCCTGTTGGTCGTCGGGCCGCGGGAATGGTTGGGGTGTGGGTGTGTGCGCGCGCGCACTCCTCCCACTTGTGCTAAGGCTGCCGCAAGGAGGCTACCTGCCGCACGGGCGCTAGTGGCCCCATTTATCCATGTGCATGGGAGCTAGCGGCCCTGTTTCCGCATGCGCATGGGCACTACTGCCATCAGCGTCACGCAGGCCCTAGCAACCCGTTTGTGTATGCATGCAGACACTAGTGCTGCTGCCAGCGCCGCTGTAGCTGCACGTGCTCCGTTTGCGTAATGTACATGGGTGCTAGCATTGCCGCACTGTGTGCAGCCTGTTTGTACATGTATGGATGTGTGCACGCAAATTTGCCTTCTCCCTTTCTCTCTGGGCTGCCAAACTGGAAAAGTTGGGGACCTCTGACATACACTATATGTATAGACACTGAAGATGAGACCAGATTCTACAAATCAACAGCATCTTGTGTGCCGCCTGGTTTTTAGAAGATATAATGTGGAATTAGCAGACATGTTATCTGCTGACCTTCTGGCAATTTGAAATGGTTTCACATTTTTTTGGATGGGTTAGTTTACACAGCTTGGCTTCAGACATTTCAAGTTCAGGTGGCAGGTAAATTCTTTCCTTAAATAAATGAATAGCAATAGAATAGTTATTATCATATATTGTTTATTATTGTAATTGTTTAACAGGTCTTTGACCTAAGACCAGTTACCGCTGGAAGTTATGATGGACTCCCCAAAAACTATAACAACTTATAGCTGTTACAACGCCCCTGTGGTTGTTCGCCTTTATGACAGATTGCTGCAGTGCCTGTCTGCCTATCTCCCCCATTCCCCCATATGGGTCTCCATAGGGCTTGGGCCTATGTCCCACTCCACCAGCCCCCCACACCTTCCTCTTCATCTTTCAAAGGTCTCTGGAGCTTGGATTAGGGAAGGGAGGGCAGGCTGCTCCATTCCTGGGCTATAGGATCTTGGAAGCGGCTACCAGAAAATGGCAGCTACTTCTAGGATTGTGTCATGCAGCCCAGGAATAAAGAACGATGCTCTGCTTCTCTAATACAAGCTCCAGAAAGCTCCATAGTGATCTGCAATGGTCTGGAACTCACGTTAAAGAAGCAAAACAGATAACCACATTTCAGGGCCATGTGGCATGATCTCAGAAAAGGCTGCCATTTTCTGCATGCCCTCAATTCAATGCAGCCATCCAGAAAATAGTGGGTTCTTGGATTGGTCCTGTCCCCAAGAGGCAGCTGGGACTCCCCTCTCTGCTCCGCCCAAGCTCAGCCCAGGAGCTGCCCCACGTGCAGCCGGGCACTCCCCGGGAAGCAGTGCCAGGCTGGGTTGTGGAGTTCTGATGCCTCGGGAGCTTGAGGGGCAGGCTAGGCACCTGTCTGCCCGCTGCCAAAGGCCCCAGGCAGCCTGCGCCACCATCTGGGGGCCCCTTGCATGGCCCAAGAGGTATGGCGAGGCTCCTCCAATGAATAGTGCTTCACACAACAGCTACCATGGTTTTCAATTGTGTTGGACAATCTCCACTATGGTCACGAATTGAGGACAAGTTTCAACAAAAGATGTTCATAAAACTCTAAATGTATAATCAACAAGAATACAGTGATATTTTAGAATATAAAAGGAGTATGATTTCTAGTCAATAGTCTGAAATACCAGAAGATAAATAGCAAGTCCTATATACACAAAAATATATGTTCGATTCAGCATTACAAATATCTAAACTGAATTGGGATTGTGTTGATTTTTCTACTGGTAACTATGAGAGTTTTCTAGATTCACTTAGCCATCAATTAGGTGATGTAAGCTTGTCCTCATTGTGCAACATAATTATGTTTTTGAATAAGGGTTTTGTGGATTAGTTTTTGGTTTGTATTGTTTGTTGTTGTGAGCCATCTTGGATAATTATGTGTAATTATGTATAAGATAGGAAGCCATAAAATTAATAACTCTTATTAGCATAAGAATAGGATGACTCTAGGAGTGCAGTGGCCTAGCGGTTAAGACGCTGGGCTTGTCAACTGGAAGGCTGGCGGTTCGAGACCCAAGTACTGCATGATGGGGGAGCTCCCGTTCCTGTCCCAGCTCCTGCCAACCTAGCAATTCAAAAGCATGCAAATGCAAGTAGATAAATAGGTACCACTTCAATGAGAAGGTAACAGCATTCTGTGCACCTCAGCGTATAGTCATGCCAGTCACATGACTTAGAAGCACCTTCAGGCAATGCTGGCTTCCTCAGATAGGAAACAGAGGTGAGCATTGCTCCCTAGAGTCAGGGGAAACCTTTACTTTTTAAGATGACTTTAGAACAGGCATGTGATGTTGCGCAATGTATTGGGCCGGTTTTGCTATTGCTGGCAATGGGGTGGGCGCGACTTCCACGTGACGCATCTGGCCTGTGGGCCGGCAGTTTGACACCCCTGCTTTAGAAGATGCTATAATTGACTAGTAAGAGGGTGGCCTATGACAGCATTCTTCTCATAGTTAGCAAATGTTGATAACTTAAAACCTCTATGGTTGCATGTGCACAAAATATTAAATCCTGATGTAGCATAAACTATAGGAGATTTATTCATAAGTATTTCATCAAGTGATGTAGCAAATCATAAAAAGCCATGATTTCTTGATTGCAAATTTGGCTGACTATATCAGGGGTAGTCAACCTTGGCTCTTTTATGACTCGTGGACTTCAACTCCCAGAATTCCTGAGCCAGCCATGCTGGCTCAGGAATTCTGGGAGTTGAAGTCCACGAGTCATAAAAGAGCCAAGGTTGACTACCCCTGGACTATATCTATAAACTTACAAGATTTATAGTAGTGGTTTACTGTTTTGAGCAGCAATCTGATCTGAATCAGAGACACTGTGCCTGGTTGAGAAAGCTAAAGGTGAAACAAGAGCCTGAGACATGATCTTGTAAGTTTATAGACAAAGTCCTATAAGGGGAGTTAACCGTAAGTTAATATTTCTTATGCTGTTAATAATGAGTGATATAAAGATTAAATAAATAGAGGGTACTACTAGGCTCTCCAAACTAGGACTCAACTGCAAAGCTAACCCAATCCCCCCAGC